ATGCTCAGTATCGCTAATTACCAGAGAAACGCAAATCAAAACCACAATGAGGTATCACCTCACACCAGTCAGAATGGCCGTCATTCAAAAGTCCACAAACAATAATTGCTAGAGAGGATGTGCAGAAAAGGGAACCCTGCTACACTGCTGGTGGGAAGGTAGTTTGGTGCAGCCACTGTGGAGGACAGTATGGAGGATCCTCAAAAAATTAAAAATAGATTTACCCTATGATCCAGCAATCCCACTCCTGGGCATATATCCAGAGGGAACTCTACTTAGAAAAGATACATGCACCCTAGTGTTCATAGCAGCACTATTTACAACAGCCAAGACATGGAAGCAACCTAAGTGTTCATTTACAGATGACTGGATAAAGAAGTTGTGGTATACTTATATAATGGAATACTACTCTGCCATAAATAAAAATGAAATAATGCCATTTGCTGCAACATGGATGGATGTAGAGATTATCATATTCAGTGAAGTCGGACAGAGAAAGACAAATATCATACGGTGTCACTTATATGTGGAAACCAAAAAAAAAAAAGATACAAACCAAAAACAAACTCATTTTCTTTACTGACATAGAAAACAAACTATGGTTACCAAAGGGGAAATGGCGGGGAGGGATAAATTAGGGGTTGGGGATTAACACACACACATTACTATATTTAAAATAGATAACAAGTTTCTACTGTACAGCATAGGGAACTATATTCAATTTCTTGCAATAGCATAAAATGGAAAAGAATCTGAAAAGGAAATATATATATGTATGTATACAAAGAACTGAATCACTTTGCTGGACACCTGAAACTAACATTGTAAGTCAACTACACATCAATGAAAGTGTTGTTTTTTTTTAATGTGACAATACTGTAGAATAAGAGAAACATACTGCATCAAACTGGAAACCCAGAGGAAATGGTGATTTCTCAGTAAGAGCACACATTAACACAATGGACCCTAAAACAACATTACGCAAGCAGGCCTATGTGCCACCCAGGGACCTCTCCCCTAACGGTTCTCCTCTCGGAGTTCTGGGTGTCCCTTCCTGGGAGAAAGACACAGGGACAGGGCTGTCCCTCAGATCCGCTGAGGTCCAGCCCCACCTGGTGTCCTCCTGTTCCCCAGCCATTCTCACCCAGTGAGGACACCAGGCCAGGTGGAGTCTCGGACTCTGTGCACGCACTGTGGGTTCTTCAACAACCACTCTTCCCACCTCCACTCTGCCACCCAGCCTCCACACCCCACCACTCACTCAACACCGTTCAGCTGTGCCTCCTGTGTGCATGTGACCACCACTGCTGACAGACGATGTGTGCAAAGGACCAGCCTCTCATAGACACTCTTTCTGAACAATCCGACTCCCACTCTTCAGAAGAACGTTCGCTAACACGTTCACTCGGGCACACTCACGGTCTGCAGTAAATACTCCGCGGACACGCGTTCTGCTCCGTTTGACTTAGAATTCTCACTCACCCTCTCTGAGCTACTCAGACATCCTCCCGAGAAGATGGAACTGGGGCCTGGCTGGAAGTGGGGCAGCTTCCGACCTCACCTGGGGTAGAAATGTGATCTGTGCCCAGCTGGCTTTCGTCTCAGCAGCTGTTTGCGGGAAGGCCCACGGTGGCCTGCCCCTCGGCGTCTGCTGGGCCCAAATGACCCATGGAAGGCTGACACACAGAGACTGGGCTCCTCCCTAGACAGGCTTCATGGCAGCGGGGAGACAGGGAGTTTATTTCACGAGTGAAGGCACAAGCAGTACGATGGGTGGGGGCGAAGCGACAGCCCGACCCGGGCCCATCTCTGCATCCCCACGGTCTGCCCTTCCAGGCAGCTGGGCCGGCAGCCACAGGCTAAGTGAAGAAATACAGCTGCTCCTCCTCCTCCTTGTCCATCAGCCCGTGCTCAGACTTCTCCGCGCATCTCAGGGCGGGTGGCCGGGAGCGGCTCACCAGTCTCCTGCCTCTCTGCCAAAGGCAAGCCCAGTGAGCCTGCGCTCTGCCCTGGACACCCTGCCCCGAGCGTGCTGGGAAGCCGGGACTGGTGCTGTGGGGCCCCATGAACCACCCCAGCCTCTCTGGTCACTCCTGCTCAGGCCGGGGCTGGGGCCAGAGCTGCGGTGCAGTGCTGGGGCATGTGTCTGTCAGGCCCGTAGAGCCTGCTCCTGGGTGCCAGCCCTGCACGAGTGTGTGTGAGGCAGGGGTGGCGCCTGGGAACACAGAAGGGGAACGTCAGGGCCCATCTCTCACCGTGGAGGTTATGGGGAGGAACCTGCAGTGTCCTTACTTGTCTTCTGCGCCTGTGTTCAGGCTCAGGCCTGCCAGGGGCCAGCAGGCAAGTTGTGGAGTGGACGCTTCAGGACACAGCAGTCAGGGGTCCCCTAGTGAGGGCAGTGAGCCTGGCCTGGGGTCTGGCTGGAGTGTAGGTGGGACTCTGGGGGGTGGGCTGACCCGCTGGTGCCGGCTCTCTGAGCAGAGGGCTCACATCTTGGCAGGGCTGGGAGGGCCCCTGGAAGGAGCAGGTCCTCAGGAGCCAGTGGGGGCAGCAAGCCCAGGAGTGGGAGACACTGCCCTACCCTGGCCTTGCTTTGATGGCCCCACCAGTCCCCAGAGCCTCAGCAGCAGCACCTGCAGAGGAGGTGAGCCAGGCTAGGCTGCAGGCTGCCAGCCCCTCCCATCCCCTGTGCCTCCTCAGGCCACCCTGCCCACCTTCTTCTTGACCTCGGCCTGGGCCCGGGCCTGTGCCCGCTGCAGACGCTCCTCCTGCAGCTGCTTCTGCAACTTGACCTTCTCTTCCCGGAGCCTGGGTGGCAGTGGTGACAAAAGACAGATTAAGGGCTGGAGGCCCAGCAAAGGCTACCAACTCCAGGGCTCCTTCCCACATAGCCCTCAGGCCATGGCCCTCCCCGCTCCCCTGCCAGGTCAGGGCCTTGCTTCTGACCCTGTTCCTTGGGGGTCCTGGCTCTGGGCTCATACCCCCAGGAGGCCCAAGTTCCTAGACCCCCATCCCTGGTCACTTGCTCTGGCTCCCCCATCATCGCCCTTGAAGGCCCAGTCCCTCCAAGGTCAGTAGTCCTGTGTCCTTCCCGTCTGTACTTGCGGGGTCCGAGGACACAGAGGAAGAGCCCTTGTGCACGTGGGACAGACATGGCTGTTTGTAGATGACCATGTCTCGGGACTCTGCTCGGACTAATGAAACAGGCGGCCAGGAACTCGCCTGGGCCGCACTGGGCCTGTGGGGCCCCTAGGCCTCCCCTCAGAGCCAGACCCCCACTGCTGACCTCGCCTCCCCTCAGCTGCTCCCTCCAGAGTGTGCACCTCCGCCCCCTCCCAGCCCTGGCAGTGCGGCCCCTCTCCCGCCCCACTCCAGCCAGGAGAGTGCCCGTTGCTGTCGCCTGTCCCAGGTGAGGCTGGCTCACTTTGGCTCCTGGGGTCCCTGGCATCACATCAGGCCACACTCCAGAAGAGGGGCTTTCTCCACAGGGCTGAGTCTGGGCTCCCCAGTTGCCCCCAGACCCCTGGACTCTGCTTCTCATCATGGAGCACCAGGTTCCTGTCTCCAGTTGGGGAACTCTGAGGGAAGGACCACACTTGACCTCTGACCTCAGTGCCAGCCCAGAGCTGGGGCAGGGGTGTGGAGGGCACCTCACCCTCAGGGCCCTCCCACTGTGAGAAGCTGTGTGACCGGCAGGGCTGGCAGGGCCTCACCTCACACGCCGCTCCTTCTCCTTGGCCTTCTCTGCCTGCTCGATCCTGACCTGGGGCACTCGCTCCAGGCTCTCGAGCAGCTCATCCAGCTGGTGCTCAATGGTGGCCAGCATCTGCACGGTGCCCAGCCTGGACTCCTGCTGGCTGTCGACACAGTGCCGGTACACGTCCAGCACCTTGTGGTTCAGACTCTCCAGCAGCTTGTCCTGTGAGGCGGGCAGGACTCCCTCCAGCAGGGCCGCGTAGGCCTGTGCCACCCCCACATCACAGCCTGCCGGAGCCCTCGTGACAACTCGCCTGACCTCCCAGGGCTCTGCCCAGCACACAGTGGGCACTCGGAAAGTGTAGGGGAAATGACTCGGACACCTAGACTGTTCGTGACCAGAGTGTCTGACCCCTGGCCTTCTCACAGCCAGCCAGCCAGATCCTGGGTTCCAGCAAACCCACTGAAGCCCAGTCCCCTATTCTTTGGAGCCCTCTTTGTCCTGCCCCTGCACTGACCTCAGCTCCCCACAGGACCACGTTCTGTGACTGCTTTCTGTGTGGCCCTGGGCCCTGGGAGCTCCCCTCCCTCAGCCTGCTCTGACATTCAGAAAATACTTAACCCCACCTGTCCCACCGACTGGGCACGAGGACTACAAGATGAACGGCCGGCACAGAGGCTTGACGGGCACAGGGCACAGACAGTGCCCACTGACTTCTGCAGGAGGCGGGGGTGTGCTGGCCTGCTTTTAGGGCATCCCATGCACCTGGCCCTGTGCCCGGCACACAGCAGGTGCTCAGTAGGAATTTGAGTGAATTAGGAAGCTGGGTCCACCCCCTTGGCCCTCGGTGTGCTGCCAGGAGACGTGTGCCCAGTCCTGGTCCTACTGCCCAGGACACATCCCCGGTCTCTGCGCCCTCAGAATTCTTTCACCTCCCAGCTTGGCTGAGGCTGTGCCTGCCTTCCTCCAGGCAGTCACTTCTGGACACACTGCGTGCGTTTAAGAAGCAGACGTGTTTGTTGAAGGGAGAGAGAAGGTGTGTCGCGGGGCTGCCTGTCCACAGAGCATGAATATATGGCTGACTCTGTTTTGGGGCCAAGGGTCAGGCCCAGAGCCCGGACGGTGTTGAGGCACCATGTGCCTCGGGCCTCACTCTCCCACTGTCCGGGCTCTGTGCACTGGGGCTCCTCCTAGCAGGTGCCTGTGAGTGCCTCCCACCCTGCCCTGTGGCACCACATGCCCTCCACACCCACTGCCCACCAGCTACCATCTGCCTGTCTGTCTGGGGCCCTACCTCCTGATCGCCTTTGTACTCGCCAAAGTGGAAGACACGGGCTTTGAGCTCCAGCTCGGCAGCTGTCTCCTCCTCCTTGGCGATGGCCATCATCAGGGTGGTGATCCACTGCCTCAGCTGGTTGACCTCCCTGTCCCTGGATGGGGGACCAGCACTTTCTGAGCCTGCCGGCCCCAGCCGCATGCACAGGGGGCAGAGGACTGGTGAGATGAGGCAGGACTGAAATGTAAGGTCTTTAACAATCCACACTAAAAAGAAAAACCCACTTTATCGAGGTGTATAATTCACCATAAAATTGTTTTAAAATGTACAATTCAGTCATTTTTAGTATATTCACCAGGTTGTACCAGAACATTTTCATCACCTGGAGAGAAACCCAGACTGGTTACTGGTCGGTCCCACTCTTCCCTCTCTCGTGTGTCTCTTCTGGACACCCCATAAGCCCAGAGCTACATGACACTGGTCCTTTTGTGTCTGGCTCTTTCCTTCAGCATGTTTTCAGGTCTGTCCACGCTGAAGTATGTGTCAGAGCGTCCTTCCTTTCTACGACCACATGACAGTCCACTGTATGGAGAGACCCCCTCAGCTGATAGACTCAACCATCAATGGACATTTGGGTGGTCTCTACCTTTTGGCTCTTGGGAATAATGCTGCTATGGACACTTAGAGGCCGGTTTTTGTGAGGACATTTTCAATTCTCTTGGGTATATATTTAGGAATAGAATTGCAACAATCAATTTTTAAATGAAATAAAATATTAAAAGAATTTTAAAAAAATGTTTTCACAATCATGGCAGACACTGACCATTGCATGTTGGGGCTTCCAGAGCAGGATTCCTGGCTCCTAGGGTTGGCATGGGTCCGTCCATGCGAGCAGCTGCATACAAGCCCTGGCCAGAGGGAGCAGGGCATCAGCTACTCAGCCGGCAGTGCCTGGGAGGCCTCGAGGCGCCGGTCTCCCCAGCAGTGATTCTGGGGCTCTGCCCTTTGGCTGATGGAACCTACTGACATTTTCTCACTCTTAGGCAAAGTGCCACAGGCTGCTACTCCTTTGCCCACAGGGGCCCAGGGCCTGTCATATGCACTGCCACAGGGGTGCAGGCCTCAGCCCCATACCAGCTCCCCAGCACAGGTCTCAGACTGTGGGGCCAAGGCTGGTCTGGCCAGCCCTCCTGAGCTCTCAGAGGTGGGTGGCCAGAGAGGCTACACGCTGCTCACAACCCCCTCACCCAGGCCTGGGCCTCTGGAGGGTGCATTCAGGTTGCCTGGACCAGTAACAGAGACCTGACCTCCCACCAGCCCCGAGCACCCACCACAGGGGTGATGTGCTTGGGGTCAGCAGTGCATCTCCTAAGGGTAACAGGACTGAATTCAGCTCTCACTTGTTTCTTAAAGCTTCCTCCATGACCAGTGCCTGGACTCGCCAGTGACCTTGTAGCTGACAGCTCGTTACCTGGACCAGGTGGGGGTGGGTTTATATCATTGTCCAATTTCTTCTCCAATAACTGGGATAAAAAGATCACTTTCCCCCCACTAGTTCTCTTTAAATGTCAAATTGTTGGGTCACAGACTTTTCTCCTCAACCAAATCTCACTGCCAACCTGCAGGGCATGAAGAACACACTGCCCAGCACTGGTGCTCAGACCAGGGTCCACATCACCTGCATGTTTGTCAGAAAGCAGAATTCAGGCCTCACCCAGGACCTGGCCAGGTAGAGACTTCACTTAACAAAACCCCCGGGGGCCCAGTGCACAGCATCTGAGGGGCACCCTGCTGCCAGAAAAGTGACGACACAGGGAGAAAACCTACAGGTTGGACGGGATTTAAAGACACAACCGACTGCAGAGTGTGATCTTATTTCAATTCTAATTCAGACTAATGGTTTAAAACCTCTAACCATTTATGGAATATGGACATTCAACATTAAGAATTACTTTTTAATGTGATGATGGTATTATGGCTAAGTTAAAGAGCCCTATTCTTTTTAGAGACACCTATTGAAATAATTAAAGACTAAATGACACCGTGCCTGGACTTTGTTTCAGAATAATAGGAAGATGGAGGAGTGGGTGGATCAAGGGGAAAGACTGGCCATGGGTTGGTCACTGGTGAAGCTGGTGACTTTACACCACCTTCTCTACTTCTGTTTATGTTTATGTGTTTGAAATTTTCTTAGAGTTATTAGGCTGAATTGGATAAGTTATAAATAGTTTTTTAAAAGGTAACAAGAAAGGGGATCCCTTCCTAAATACCTGGAGACATATAATCAGATAGTTTACTAGACTAGTATTAAAAAGAGAGAGAAAAAAGCAAGCACCACCAAATGTGAATAAATAAAGGTCATTCAAAGACCAAGCTAAAGAGAAAGAGTTACCATATTCCTGCAGAAATAGCAGCAAAAAGGACAAAAATAAAGTATTTTGAGATAGAGGAAAATGGTGTACTAGGAAGCACCAGAAATCTGTCTCCACACCTAGAAAACAGTTGCACTGGCAGAATCTGTGACGGAACTCTTCTGTAGCTCTGGAGTCTGCTGAGGTTGTTCACAACTTCTAGGGAAGGACCTGGACATCAAACTGTTCATTTCTTTCCACTCCAGCTCTGAGCACAGTAACAGCTACCCATCCCCCAACTCCATCCCCATGGCAGCACCTGTGTGTATGTTCCTGGAACACCTTGCCCACAGCTCACAGGAACCAGGGTGGGCCAAAAGGACCCTGTCCTCCAAGTACTGGGATCTACACTCTGATCGTTGACTGCTGCTTCTGGTCACAGAGGTGCAAAGAGACAGAGGTCATTGCTTCACCTATCTCCTTTGCTACAAGCCCCGCCCATTCTGGTGGACTTCACTTCCAGGGTATTTAAAGGACCAGAGCGCTCCCACAACACTTAATTTTCAGTCTTTTCCCTTTTTGAGAGCTAGATATTAAAGACCATGGACTTTCAGAAACAACTGTGTATATGGGAAAAATTAGAAAGTGATCATACAAGCCAAAGAAAAGTCTCAGAAAAGACCTGAGAAGACCTTAATTTCACACCTCAGGTTGATTCTCAGCACAAAGACTGCCTACAACAATTAAAAATAAATAAATACATAAACAAAAGTAACAACAAACAGAAAACTGGGGAAGAGACAGAGTCTGATCTCCAAAGCTACCACATTATTAGCTTCAACTATTCTGTGTTCACCAAAAAGGCACAAAGAACACACAGAAACAAGAAAGCATGGCCTATTTACAGGAAACACAAACTGTTCCTAAAAATTAATATGGCAAGTATAGTACAAAGATTTTTTTAAAAAACTGTGTTTAAAGATGCTCAAAGGGTTAAAGGAAGAGGTGGAGAAAGTCAAGAAAATACTGTGTGAACAAAATGGAGATATCCATAAAGAGACAGAAAACTTAAAAGGAAATCAAAAAAGAAAATCTGGAGCTAAAAAGCACAATAATTGAAATAAAAAATTCCCTGGAGGTATTCAAAAGCAAATTTGAGCAGGGAGGAAAAACAATCAGTGATCTTGAAGATAGGATGATGGAAACTATAGAGGCTGGGGTACAGAAAGAAAAAGAGTGAAGAAGAGCAAACAAAGCCGAAAGAACTTGTGGGACAACAACCCAAAGGACCAGTATACACGTTGTGGGAGTCCCAGAAGAAGAGAAAGATGCAGAGAAGATATTCGAAGAAATAATGGCTGAGAACTTTGCAAACTGGATGAATATAAACATTCAAGAAGCTCAAGGTACTCCAAGTATGAGGAAATCAAAGAGAACTATACCAAGACATAGTATAACAAACTACCACAGGATATTCAAAAGCCAAAGAATCTTGAAAGCAACAAGAGGAAAGCAAATCACCACAAAAAAAGGATCTCCAATAAGATTTTCAGCAGATTTCCCAGAAATTTTGGAGGCCAGAAGACAGCAGGCCAATATATTCAAAGTGCTCAAAGGAAAAAAAAGAAAAAAAGAACTCAACCATGAATCCTACATCTGGCAAAAGTGTCCTTTAAAAGTGAGGGAGAAATCAAGACATTCCCAGATAAGCAAAAGCTGAGGGAGTTCATGACCACTAGACCTGCCTTGCAAGAAGGGCCCAGGGGAGACCTGCCAGGTGAAATGAAAGGACACTAGATAGTAACTTCAGCATATGGAGAAATAAAGATCTCAATAAAGGTAAATACATGGGCAAGAACAAAAGCCAGTATTATTGTTAACAGTGGCTTGTAGTTGTACTTTTTGTTATCTACATGATTTAACAGACTACCACACTTAAAGAAAAAAAATCATTAGCATAAAAGCTAGTACTACTGTAACTTTTGGTTTGTAACTCCAAATCTTGCTTTCTACATAATTTAAGAGATGAATGCATATAAAAGAATTATTAATTTATGTTTTGGGGCACACAATGCATGAAAACATCAGCGACCAGAAGGGGTAGGGATGGAGCTGGAAAGGAGCAGGTTTGTATGTTACCGAAGCTAGGCTGGTAGAGATTCAAATTTGAGTGTTATACCTTTGGGATGTTAAATGTAATCCCCACGGTAACCACAAAAAATAGCTATAGAACATACACAAAATGAAATGAGAAAAATTTAAATATTTCACTACAAAAAAATCAACTAAACACAAAAGAAGACAGCAATGCTGGAAATGAGACCCCAAAAAAGTGATAAGGCATACAGAACACAAATAGCATGATGGCAGAAGTAAGCCTTTCCTTATCAGTCATTTCTTTAAATTTGAATGGATTAAACTCTCTAATCAGAAGACAAAGATTGGCAGAAGGGATAAAAACACATGACCCGCTTTTGCACAGCTAAGGATACCATCAACAAAAAGAAAAGACAACTTACAGAATGGGAGAAAGTATTTGCAAATGATGTGACTGACAAGAGACTAATTTCCAAAATATACAAATAG